TATTGCCAAAGCTAAGTACAACAGAATTTATCAAACACAAAATATCTATGCACATGATTATGGGAAAGATTTTCAGTTCTCACACATATAAATAAAAAAGCTATATACCTTATTTTACTTGTATCTTTTTGTTATACATTAACATAATACAGAAAATATATATGCAAGGGCATAGGTTTGCTCTTTTCCATGTATTTCATGCAAGGCACAGTCTAAAAGTTACACAATAGTCATTTTACTTTTTTGTTATGAGGTTATGTCCATAAAGAGAACTGCAGTTGGGTATCATGTTGCATAAGCACACAGTGCTATGTGGAGAATAATGACATGAATCAATAATGCTGTCTGGGAAATGGCTTAGAATAAAATATTACAAGAGGGTACAAACATCACCCAGGAGGAGGTTTCGATGCTGATTAAATATGGCTGCCTCAGCTATCCTCAGCGCAATGACAGATGAGGCGTGCTAGCTTTGGCTTTTGCTGCTTATTCTGAACTAGGGTTACTCAGGTTGCAGCAAAACACATGTTGGTCTGCTCAGGCATGCAAGGACGGTCTACTGCCTTGGGCTGCCCTCTGAAGGCTAAAGTTGTATACACAGCAAAGGATAAAACTCAGTCAATTTTCTGACTCCAAAATAAGCAATTGCAAAGAGACTCCAGATCTCTTTAAGGTATTTTAACAGCACACAAAAATGTTGAAAAGGAACTGCAGGATGTCTCATTTTTAAAAATTAATAAACTAAACGGATACTTCGAAGAACACATAAGAAAAAGACCTCTAACTCATGCCCTAAAACAAAAATAGAACCCACAGCAAAACAATATAGAAGACAATTAAAAATACAGAAAACTATCTATTTGAAGAACTGTATTTACAAAATCATAGTGAAGTAGGCAAGAAAGAAATACTGTAAAACATACATACTTACTATATCAATAAACTAAACTGTGTCACACTTTTTTGAGAATAACTTGCTTGGTGCTTAAAATATATGGTGGTACTTGGCTAAGGAAATACAACCTATCTGTCTCACTATGACTGCAGAGTAGACAAATATGTATTGTTCATCTGTAAACAAAAATACAGATTTGCTTACAACTGCCCATAATTTCGGAGTATAATGGAGTATTTTTGTTCATTCTTAGTCTACTTGTAGGAATAAAATACATATATGGCAAACAAATTGCCTATCATTGGAAAAAGAAACCAGCAGACTTATATGTCAGTAGGTACAATGCGGCTTTCTATGGGACCTGAGTTGCTGGCTAGCTATTCCGTTCTATTAGAAATTTGATTGAAACCATTAGTTGGATTTTAATGAACTCCATGTGTCACTTCAGGTCTAGTCCTGGCAAACAAAATCTATTATATGATTCTCGGCACAAGTAATTGAGATAAATCCCAATCTAGGTCATTTCTCATGTCTTTGGTTTAGCTGAATTCCTTTTAAACAGTCATTTTTAAGAAACAAACCTAATTACACATAGTATATTGGCTTTGTTTCCTGCTTCTTCCAGACATTATGAAATGTGTGAGTGTAGGTTTATATAGTAGATACACTCATATATTGTATGAGTAGATACACTCATACAATTGTATAGTAGATAAACTCATATATGTAAATATGGCTTATATATAGTGCCGCAAGCAGGGAACTCTCAAACTGTTTTCTTTGTCTATATTTTTCCCCAACCTTTCCACTGATATGCTGTGTAATTTCAGATAAATCATTCAAATGCATTCTTCGTACAATATCCCCAGGTGAAAAATAGGGTTAATATATCTTACCCACATCTCCGTTATATTGTGTGCTAGATTAAGAGTGTCACATAAATCCAAAATATCACCAAGTCAGACCATACCTCAAAGAGGCACCGCTGGTGAGGTTCTCCTTAGAGTTTCCCTGCCTACTTCCATTGAGAACTGGAATCTTCCTGTAAGGAACTGGGCCAGAAACGTCCTTGTCAGCCACTCAGGATCCACAGGCAACTCTAGACTGGCTCTGGGTTCCCCAACTATCCCACTCAGCCTATTCCATTTTCCAGGAAGAGGGAGCATGCAGAACAGTCACTCAGTTTCTAGCCCTTCAGACTTCTTATTTGTTTTACAACCCCTGTTACCTGCAGCTAGCAAAGTTGTTATGCTTTGCTAAACCACAGAAATGTGCCTTTTTATGGAAACTAACAGATAATATTTGGGGGGGTTTTATTACCACCATTCCATTGAATGCATACAATGTACTCATCAAATGGCTGTAGTCTTGGGGTTGGTTTCTCCACAGTTTCTATTATCAGCCATGCTTGTGAGTGTGGTAACTTTCCTCCCCTGTTCAGAAGTGAACGTTTTTTAACAGGGGAATGCCTAGTGTCTTACAAGGCTAAAAAGCAGTAGAACATCACATACCTTACAAAGGAGCTCACTATTATTATCTCCACATTAAAGATGGGGAAACTGAGGCATAGAGAGGTGAAGCACACTGTCCAAGGTCATCCAACCAATCAGTGGTTGAGTTTAGACGGAGTGCAGGTCTACTGAGTCCCAATCCTGTGCTCCCACCACCGGTCACTGAGGGTTGGGTTGTGAGGAGTAATGTTCACATATCTGTATCCTCAATCATTACACAAAAAGTGCCATCAAAAGCCACAAATGAAAATGAACTGCAAAACATTCTGCTTTTGCTTTGGATGTCTGTGTTGCCACCTCACATAACTGTGCCCTGAGAGCAACTCCATTAACATCACCACCCATTTTAAATCACCTGAGGCACAAAGCAGAAGAAAAACAGGAACAGCTGTGTCTAGCTCCTGTGTAGAGTTCACAGGAGGGGGAAAGTTCCTGCTTTCTCCACCAGCCTTCATTTTGTGTACCTGTAAAAGTGTCAGCAACAAGATAGCCCAAAGGATATGCATCCAAAAAACCCAGGAAGACTAATGGATACCTGGGACTCAAATGTTACAGTGATTCGGTATCATTTCCCATGCAGCTATGATGCATATACCATAAATGTTAAAAAGAGTTTGGTGGTTAGTATAATATAAAGCTGACCCCCATTTCCCCCCAGTAATTAATGAAAGATGGCCAGGTGATATAAATAAGTGGCATAAGAATGTCTTCTGGAACTGCTTAACTTTCCCATTGAAAGGACATTCTGGGCTTTTGTAATCTGCCTGTTTCATCATGCAAATCTAGAGTTTTCCTGACCACAAGTAACAGATGATGTAGTAATCAATGAGGTGTTTGCTTATTGCCCTATCCAAACCCAGAAAAAGGAAAGAAATTATCCTTCTACTGCCAGAACGTTTTACAACTTGATCCCAAGGATTCCAAAATATCACCTCCGATAGTAAATGCATTCTCCCTTATGTGCCTGATATTGTGTTATTTGCTTTATTTCATTTATCCTTACTAAGGTAAATCTATAAAGATTCTGTTGCTGAGGTACAAAGTGAGGTCTGTATCAAGATAAACACCCCACTGAAGTAACTGGAAAGATTTCTTTCAATAGATGTTTGGATCTGATTCTAAATATCTAAAGCCAGCAGACTTGACTTTCTCCGAGTCTCCAATGGAAAATTCACTTTTCCCATCTTCATTACAGGCCTTGTTTTTTTGGAAGAATGAGCATTTTAAAAAAGAGAATACCCTTTAACAATAATGCCTTTACCATCAGCTAGGCTGTGGAGAAATTTCTTTCAGTCAGTGGCCTAAGGGCATAATCTTTACTGTGAGGGGATTCAGTTGCATATACTGATGAGAATGTGTCTTCCCCATTACTTAATTTACTTTGTTTGTATAGTAGTAGTCAACCTCTATCTATACAATTATGTCCTCGTCAGCTGCATTTACATTTACTTTACAACTTCAGCTTCATGAATGAGAGACGCTAAAACCAGAATTTTAAACAGCAGAGGCAAGATCACAGGAGAATTATTACAATTCACTATTTGCTATTTTAGCACTACTATTTTTTATTCTGCAGTAGTACCAACCAAGATGAGAGCTTAAATGCCAGACACTAAACAAACACATGAGAGGCAGTTCCTGTCTTGAACAGTTTATAAACTCTGACCCTGATCCTGCAACCACTTAAGTATGGACTACTCATACCGGTTAAACTAAATAGATTAGACCAATGAGAAACAGGAAGAATGAGGGTGTGGACATGGGCAAAAAGTTGCTGCAAGGGTATATGGGGAGGGAGATTTGCAGAGTGTTGGCTATTACACAGTACCTGCCCATGTGTGCACACTCTTGCCCAACAGTAAATGAGGGCCAACCAGCAGTAGCTTCCCCTGCTTTCATTCACTGACTTCCACTCAGTTGGGTTGCTCACAGTTGCATAAAAAATCTCGAGTGGAAGCATCACTTAAACTTAGATCCGCTGGTGGCTGCTCCACCATAAGGCTATTCTCTCTCTCTCAAACAACTTCTTTCTCCCTAAAAAGTAATTCTCCCTCCAGGTCTGCTCCAGAAGTCAGATGGAAATTTTCTACCTGAAAGACCAAATACAAAGAAAATCCTTTCTAATAGTCGAGCAACAAGGCTTCTGGGTTACTTAGAGCTTTGTCCTGCAAAGTCCCAGGCATGCTTCTCTCCCACTGGGAGTTAAGTATGCCTACCTTCCTTCCCCCCAGCCTCCTTCCCTCAAACAAAGCTGTGCTATCTATTGGGTAGATCACAGGGGTTTACAGCAGTAGGACAGTAAGGAAGCAGGCAAGGGGAGAGAGTCTCTCTTACTCAGTTTGTGCTCAAAATCACAATATTTTAAATGACTAATATGGATTACCAGAGTGGAAGGGGAGCTTTCTATTTCTTATTGTTTTCATTCGCCTCTTTCCCTTCAAGTTACTCTCTAGTTTAGAGCCTCCCCCTCCTCCCCGCCATTCCAACCCCCCCTCTTTCACTCTCTCCCTTTTTAAAAATACAGTTTTCTTTCAAGTCCTCTACAGTTACAGTGTTTCGGCCATCAAAGTCCCCTCCCAGCCATTTTCATTTACCTTGTGACTCTGACCCTTTGTAAGGCTGAGCATTTTCAGAGTAAACTGATCCTGAAGGTCCCCAAGGATGTTATTCTCATTTATTCACTCAGCCCTTTGAATGGAACAGCCTACATTTGGCAGCGCTTCAGCAGCCTCAGATTCAAAGAGCACACAATCCTTTTTCTTCCAGGGGCCTTTCAAAATAAGGCCCAAGGTTTGTCAAGGAGCTTTAATGGATGTCAGTCATTTAGCATGTTACATTTCATTCATGGCTGCCAGTGGATGTGATGAGTAGAGAAGGAATAAAAGAAAAAAGCAGACAATAACTGCAAAGGATAATCTTCCAAGGCTTTTGTGATGTGATGTTTTACGGAGCGGTGTCTTAGCTACTATTACTCATTTCAGGGAAGTTAACATCCTTCATGACTAAAGATCCACCTAACCCTGGTAAAGAACTTCGGACCCAGGACAAGTTTGTCACAGTGCAGTCTGGTAAAGAAGCAGCTGTTTAATGGAAACCCATCTTTTTCAGGTGTACAATCGAGTGGCTGAGTACCTCTAGTGCCATCTGCATGTCCACAGGCAGTTATTACCTCTGACAGCTGTCCCTCCTTTTCAGAACTTCAAAATGTTTGGGGACAGTCCCTGGAGACTGATAAGACAGAAACGCTTCTATGAGTGTCCCTAAGGGAAAGAGAATGGAGGGAAAGGCTCATGGTTATGTACCACTGTACCTGCCAACTGGTGTGTTACAAAAGGGCTAAAATTACCAGCTGGTCAATTATCTGATTAAAGAGACCCTTTCATTTGAGATTTAAAAAAAAAAATTCCAAAAGAAAAAGCAAAACCTCCGATAGGTTTTGCTTTTAGCCTCCAGTAGGTTTTGCTTTTAGCCTACTAATTTTTTTCCAGAAATGATCAACAGCAAAGTTTAGACAACAATTTTAAAAAATGTGAACATAAACTTTTTGCACTAGTCAAATACTTTTGTGGGGTTTTTTTCTTTAGCATAAGATTTAATCTCATTTATCTTCTTTATAATTAAAAAAGAAAGAAAAGGAAGGGGAAAAGCAACAGCTCACTGCACCATCTTTTTAACAGCTTAGTTCAACTGATTAAATAAGGAACATTCTCCAAAAAAGCAATTCAGATTTCATTAGTTTACAGTTGCTTTGGAATCCCTTTGAATTACAAAGTGCATAAATTATCTTTCTGTCAGCTAACATCAGAATTGCCTCTTTATGGCTCCTGGACTCAACAACGGCTGCTAGGATTTGAGAATAAATGTATGATGTGCTGGGACTTCACCAGCCGGTTAATGACCTGCCACAGTAGTTATAGGGCCCAAGACGAAGCGGAGGAAGCTTAACTAATCTGGCTAGTCACTAGCTTGCTGGCTTGGAGCACAGAACAGCATGGAGTGCATGACTGTAAACTTTATTGTCCAATCCATTCTGAATTAAGTTTTTTGAAAGTTTTATTAATAATGTTTCCAATGTTTATACTTTCCTGCTTGAGTAACCAAGAAAGTAATTTCAAACTGGTGGAGTCAGCAGAGTTGCATTTCACTGAAAAAAGTTGTATTCTCAAAACACAGGTCAAACATGCTTCAAAGCTCTGAATTACCCACAATGGTAGGTAAAACTGGAGCAGAAAGTATACTCACTCCATTCATACATCTTCATCCTTTAATATCTAGAAATGAGCCCAAGCCAAAACTCTTGGTTTTGAACATTCCTCAACCTGAGAGTGCAGTTTAAATGCGAAGAAGAAGTTCTCAAGTAGGATCCTTTCAAGGGGCTTGAACCAAAATCCTAGGTCCGAACACTCCCAGTTGTTGGAAAATTCCCAGAAGCTGGAACTTCGTGAATCAGACCTACCTCTGTCACAATTTATTTGCTGTCTAGGCAATGCCAGAAGATTAACAAAAAAGGAGAGACTTTTTATATAAGATTGGCATATTCATAACAAAACTATGCAAATTGTCATAGTCACCATGCACTTAAAATAAGGTCCATTCTAACACATCTTAAATCCATTGCATTTATGCAACTGTTTACTCTGCTACTCAACCAACAATGTATAGAAAACATCTCCAAACTATCAAACACTTTTATAATGAAACACTCATCTTAGGTGTTTTTTTCATATGCCGGGAAAAATATATATGATGCTAAACACATTTTCCTACTTGGCTTCTATTTTGGATAAGGAAGAGGCACTGCCAGTAAATATATTACCTTTCTGATTTATTTTCAAACTCTTACAAAGCTCCTGACCATTCAGTGGGAACACAAGAATTGCTAAGTTGAAGAAGTAGACTATATGATGCTGTATCCTGTTGCTGACAGTGACCAATGCCAACTGCAGTAAGCATATATGTGATAACCTGCCTCATGGAGGTTTCTGACAACTTCCAGTAGTTAAAGGTTGCCTTAGGCCTCAAAGCTTGAGGCATTTCCAAAACTCCTCTTTCTTTATTTTTGAAATATTCATTGGTTGACTTGGATGTTCCCATTATCTTTATACATGTTTAATCCTCTCCTGAACTCTAGTAAGCCCCTGGCCCCGTGAACACAAGCACTTGGCATGTACCTTGGAGTTCCATAGCCAAATTTGTCCATTTATGACTAGGTACACAAAGAGATTCTAATGCCTAATTGACACTTGAGATGCCTAAATCTAAACTTAATCCTAGAAGGACCCAAAGCCCCCGAGTTGCTCAAAATTTCTGCTGCTAGGCATTAACTTCAGCCAAGTCCTGACAACACTGAGCCGACAGGCACTTCAACCACAGAATTCTCAGTACAGCACTCTTCCCTCTATGGAGCCCAGTCCAGTAGCCATTATCAGACCAAGCTTGATGAATCAGGCCTTGCACAACACGTAGCTAGGAGGAGGAGTTGGTGGTCCCTTTTACACACATGGGCTCTGTGCAGGCTATTTGCGATCTCACATGTTGAAGCTATTCCACGTGGAAATTCAGAAGAGTGTTTTTGCTTCCAGGATACAGTCATTCTTATGCTTTCTGTGGCCCATGAATATTTGGACATGTTATTCTGAAACTGCTTCAACAAGAGAGAGATCAAAATATGTCCAGCTCAAAATACCCTATAACCTAGCATTGGGCACTCCCCTTGGAGGTAAGAGATTTAAATTCAAGGAGGAATTTGAACCTGGATGACACACATCCCAGCTGAGTTCCTTAAGCAGAGCACTCTTGTGGGGGTACTACCACTAGGGCTGTGCAAAACAGCACCATTTTGCTGTTTCAATGGAACAGTGTTTTGTTTTGAGTTTTGTTTCATTTTGAAAGCACTGTTCCATTTAGTTTTGTAGAAAATGCTTTGCTGTTTCAACACTGTTTTGACGCTTCGACCACAAAACTGCCTATAACTTTGTCATTTCTTGCCTGATTTAGATGAAAGTTGTAGAGATGGTAGCCCCCTGTGAGGCCATGAAGCCTGCTAGGTTTCAAGGAGATGGGTGCAGGAGGTTCTAGGAAACTGCACCTCAAGCTGCTGACAAGCAAAGCTTGTGTCACATGTATGTGTTAAGGCACAGCGGGGTGAAAATTGGAGGCATTATAGCCCCTGCTGAGGCCATGAAGCCTGCTCAGGCTGCTGAAAAGCAAAACTTATGATATGTGTGACTTTGTTTATGTGTTAAGGCACGTCCTCACTGGCGCTAAGGCTTCTACATGACACAGTAGTGTGCCCCAATGAGGCCTCCTCCTCCCCTAAAGCCCCATCTCAGTCCACCCTTTTAAATAACAACAGGTAATAATAAGTAAGCAGCAGCACAGTAGCATCAGCAGCATCTCAGGTAGCCAAACTGTGACAGAGCCTTTCTTTCGTCTCCTGCAGGAGCTTCTTCTTCAGCAGCTGCCAGATAACTCTCCCTGCCAGCAGACAATGTCCTTTGGGTCAATCTAATCTGGTATCTTTTAGTAGACCAACCAGATAGTTACAAAAATATATCTTAGCAAGCTTTTGGGTTGAAAAACCCTTTGTCAGGCTGAGGAAACACCTGCAGTTGGTGTCTGAGCTGTTCCTGGATGGAAGGAATAGTAAAGAAGCCAGAGGCTGGCATGCAATGCAGGCAAGAAAGCCAGTCAGTGAAAATGGAAATGGAGGCATCAGGGGTTGAAGGACAGGCTGGGGTGGTGGCGGGGCAGGGGATGTAGCAGTGCAGGTAAAAGTGCAGAGGTACCTGGGGAGTCAGATGTCTGGCAGGTTTCAATGTGTTGGAATTCCAATGTCTATATTGAATCCATGAGTTTCTGCACCTAGGAGGTTGATGAAGTGCAGTCCATAGGCTCATCTGTGAATGAGCCTATGAGTGGTTTGAATGAGTGGTTTGTAAATTCAAACAAGCACTGAACCTTACTAACCTCATCACCAGAAGCCAACTTCCTACAGTACAAAACACACTGAATGGATCCAGGCCATGCCATGACAAGACATGCAAAACCTGCCAACAATGTCTCCAGTATGGAGATATCTTCACAATACAACACATATCTCCATCAGGGCACCAGGTGCCATGGCGGAATATACATGGAGACACCAAGCAACAACTGTGCACCAGACTGAGTGCACTCTGAAAATCTATCAAAGACAACAACAGAACACCTCCTATCTCCAATCTCTCAGGCCTGATCCTCAAAGGGAATTTACAAACCACTTCTTACAGACGAATTCTATATTATAAAATCTATATTATAATATGCTGCAAGACATAATGTATAAAATATAAAAATGTATGTGCCTTCCTATATAAATTCTATATGACATTGAAAAGAATAAATCAATAAATATACTAATAAAATAAAAGGGTCTAGAAAGAAAGCAAAAGGTATTGTGGAATCCCACTTGCTAGGCTAGTGAGTAGGAAATCAAATCCATGATAGCAGTAGCTTTTGTTGTATAACGCTCCTTAGCTTCTGGAAGATAGCTCAGTATCTGTCAGATCCCAAGACAAATCAGGTCAGTTCAAACAATGCTGCTTTTATGCTGTTTTTCCATCCCACCCCAGAGCACTGGGATTGGAAGGGACCTCAGGGAGGGATCACAGTCACTGGCAAGCTATACAG